TTTAATGTTTTAAGTTAACTGGGTGTCCCATCACTAATCAGGGGCATTCCAGTAATTACTTGTATCATTGTACTACATTCAAATATAAATAATAGCATGGTCGACTGGGTAGTACAGTTCGACATTCACAGCATATCAGTGGTGTTCTTCTCCTCTCCTCTACTTCGAGTACAACTCTCAAGCTCACAACAAACATTTCCACTGACACTGGCGTTTTAAATCTTGGTTCTCTTATAAAACAAAGAGTGGGTGCCACCATTCTATTCTTGTGGCTCTTATCTTTCTTGTCTTTGTTCTCTACTCACTTCATTTGTAAGAATATATGGTTTGATGCTTTATAGGTGGAAGCTATTTCTGAGCAGTTAGCACCTTGCTCAAATCTCTGGGCATTTTGGTTTTAGTTCTGAATGCACTTAAGAGACAATTTGTTAAATTAAACTTGTATCTTGTTAAATTAATTACAAACCAAGGTTCAAAATTTCGCAATGTATCAGACCATATCAGCCGATACGTATCGTTCCGGTATGAATCCGATACACGGAATGCATATAAATCATATGTAGCATTCCTTTTCGTATGTATTAGTCTGTACGGGCTGTTTCGAGTCTGTATCAGCCAATACGGTTCCAAAACAGTCCGATACAGCTTGATACGAGTCCCCTTCTCTCATTAATTTCATTAAATTATATTTAGGGCCAAATTACCCCTCATTAATTTTATATTCTACTCCTATATTTAAGTGCAATCTCTCTCATTAATTAGTTAATTACTCTTGTAATTAATGCATAATTTTAAATTTGAATTTCAATTTTAGCGCCTAATTGGAATTCTCTTCTCATTAATTTCGTTAGTTAATAACCCTCTTTCTCATTATTTCGTTTTGTTAGTATAAAACTACAAACTTAGCAATAGTAAGATTCGAACCTTGGACATTAGGCTTTAAAAACTAGAGGTTCACCACTAAGCCACACCCATTTGCTTGCTATAGGTTTATGCATTTTTATTTTTAAGTAAATTTTCTCTTTTTCTTAGTGTATGCTTATCAATAAATGTTAGAATTAATTATTAAAATTTATGTATTAATAAATATTGAGATAAATTATATTGATTATTTTAAAACTAATATATATCAATATACATTTTAGTTTTTTTTTCACGTTTTAGTTATTCCATCATTTGTCAATAGTTACTAAATGTGTCCCAATATCTCAAATTTTATATAGACCATTAAATTACAAGTTTTTTACTTTTAAATAACTATTTACAATCATATAAAACTTGTAACTATCATTATTAATATATTTTTAGGATTTATTTGAGTTTTTTAGCATATTTATGCGTATCTTGATTTTTCGTCTGTATCCATACGTATCCAAAGCGTATCCCTATGCGTTTCTTAAAATTATCATTCCGATACACCTTACGTTTCCGATACTTTAAACCTTCCCATCTTTTTCCTGTCGGTGTTTAAAATCCCAGTGAAGGTTGTTAATAGATTGGAGAAGCTAATGAGAGATTTTCTGTGGGAGTCGGGAGAGGAGAAGAGGGATCATAGAGTTAGTTGGGAGATAGTGTGTAGGGGTAAGACTTGTGGTGGTTTGGGGCTTGGGAGTATTAGGAGAAGGAATATGACTCTGTTGGGAAAGTGGTTGTGGAGGTTCCCTATGGAGAAGGAGAAGCTATGGGCTAGAATAGTGGCAAGTATACATGGGGTGGAGCACAATGGATGGGACGCTGGAATCAGAGCTAGGACCACAAGCAATTCTCCTTTGAAAGCCATTCATGACCTGCTACCAGTTTTCTCCCCTAATATCAGGTATGATTTGAATTCCAATAACTCCATAAAATTTTGGGAACAAACCTGGGTGGGGAGTTTTCCTCTAAAGGATCAGTTTCCTTCTTTGTATGCTCTTTCTGATTTGAAAAATGAGCCAATCTTGTCTTTCACCACCCCGTCCTTTTTTACTTCTGGGATTGGGTGGAACTTGGGTCTAAGAAGGGATTTGAGGGACTCAGACTTTGACAGTATTTCGAGCCTTATTGCACTTCTTGATAACGTTGTCTTAGACCCCACTAGGGCGGATTCTAGAATTTGGACACCTACCCCCAATGGCATMTTTTCTTGTGYTTYYTTCTTCAAAGTCTTAAGTCAGTCCACCAGTCCTACTTTCCCCCCTTTCCCTGTTGATGAGGTTTGGTGCAGAGCAATACTTCCTAGGGTTGGTAGTTTTTGTTGGGAAGCCTATCTRGAAAGAATCAACACTGGTGATCTACTCCAAAAAAAGAGACCCAATACTTGCTTGTCACCTCAGTGGTGTGTTCTTTGCAAAGCGGATGGGGAGACTGGTTTTCACCTACTGGTGTCTTGCCATTTTGCGAGGTCAATTTGGGATTTGGCTTTCTCCCTATTTGGATGTAGATGGAATCCTCCATCAGACGTCCAGGGCCTTTTTTCCCCTTCTTTTTTCAGGTGGCGGATAAAAAGGGGAAGGACTATGTGGAGAGGACTAAGGGCTGTAATATGTTGGACACTTTGGGAAGAAAGAAACTCCAGGATATTCTCAGAAGCTGAGAGAGGAGCAGCAGATCTGAGGGCTATCATACATATTAGGGCTGTACAGTGGCTGAAATCTTTGGAGCTATTCACAGATTACACTGTG